GAATTCTTTTAGTATCTACTTTGCCCTCTGGTTCTGAGAGATTTAGGCTGTTTTCACTTATAATTTCTTGAAATATAATGTCTAGACTCTTTTTTTGTCATGTCTTTCAGATATTCTAATATATTTTAAATTATCTGTCCTCAGTCTTTTTTCCAACTTTTGCTGTGAGATACTTCACATTTTCTTCTATTTTTTTTTCAGTCTTTTGACTTTGTTTTATTATTTCATAATGTCTCATGGAATCATTAGCTTATTTTTGGCCAATTTTAATTTTCAAGGAATTATTTTCTTTAGTAATGTGCTGTACCTCCCATTCTAAGCTGTTAATTCTCTTTTTATATCTTTCTTCTTTGATTCTTACTCCTTTATCCATTTTTTTTCCCTCTCTTCCTCTCAATTGGTTTTTAAAACACTTATTTCTAGTTATTTTTTTAACTCTTGCTTTTACTCTTCCAGGAATTCTTTTTGGACTTGTATCTAAACTACATTTTCCTTGAGGCTTTGCTCATTGATATTTTCAAGACTAAAACTAGAACTAACTAGACTAGACCCAACTTCCAACTTATTTGATTAATTTTATTATTTTTTATCCTTTATTAAATTTATTGTTTTGTTATTTTATAAGACAATGAAAAAATTCTTAAGCAGAGCACACAGCAATGGTACTGGACTGGAACTGTTGCTCCATTTAGTTGTACTAAAAGTTCCTCATATGATAATCCTTCATCTCTTGAAAGTTCTTCATCTTTGTCATGTAGGAAAACTGTTGTTTTCTGTGGAAAATGGGGACATATTTTTTTATGCTAACCTCAACAGAGCTTTCACATTGTAATCTTTAACTTCTTGAGGGTCTGTCATCTTTATCACACTTCCTAGAACAGCTATTTGAAACCTACATACAAACCAATAAATTCCAGGTCCTATTCCCTGCACCTACCTCCACTTTCTGGATATACAGCACACATACAACTTAGCACTTTAGTGAGAAGTTCGAGACCCAACAAAATACTTCTTCCTAATCCCTTCACCTTCCCCCCAGTTTCCAAATACACACACACATACACACACATAAGTGGGTCATAGAGGATGAAGGGATCAGCTATGCAGTTTTAAATGACACATTATATGTAAACATAGTGTACTTGCATATGAATATATAGTGAGTATATATCTGTTTCTGTATCATAGGTTTCTGTGAATAAATATATAAGCCTACTTATATAAGTGGAGATAGATATACCTGTGTTTGCATACGTATATGTATGCAAACTAGTAACATATACAGGCATGTGCATATCTGTGTATATAAACAAACAATATATCTGTACATATCTACATATGTGTATATATAGTAAGTATGCATGTGTACACATGCAAACGTATACATACATATATACACATGCATACATATATACATATATACACATGCATATATATATATACCTGGTACAATACATAATTACACATATGAGTGTACCCAGATATTTATATACAAAGTAATTTGCAAGGAGAGTGAAACCATATGCAAGTATAAATCACACACATTATATGTTGATATAATACATACATTTCTTAATATACCTATGATTACATATATAATTTTGCACATTTAATATATTGAGTATATAAAGTATCTTTATAATTCAGATATTACTTTGTTGAACAGTATGCATATATATATATATTTTACCCATATATGTATATATGTGTATATATACATAAACTTTTCTTTACTATACACACAAGTCCATGTGTACAAGGATTTTGTATCAATAATATGCACATGAATGTACACATATAATATATAGTTATATATGCCTCTACATGAATTTACTTGTATGCATGTAGATAAGCACATTTCTATACATAATATACCCACACAAATGTGTAAATAGAATATACATATATGCATATCACATATGTGAGTTCATATCTAATGGGTGTGTGCATACACAAATAGGAATACATGTGTTATGTTTGACTACTACCCACTTAACTGTACAGATGTATATATGTATACACACAAATGTATATGCATACTATTGGATATATACATAATTAATAAAATATACTATACACATGAATATACAATGATACAAGTGTGTATGTATGTATATGCAATATATATACATACCCATTAGTATATAAGTACACAAATGTTCATAATATAGCTATGTATGTAGCTATGTGTACATATATACAAGTGTGTATGTATCCATGTGTGCCCACATGTATAGACATTCATTACACATGTGCAGTGTATGTACAAGCCTATACATATATACAGGTATTTATGGTAATCTATAAATGTGTGTATATGTGTGTGTATATATAATATATATATATAAATATTATATATATAATATATATAAATATTTTCAGTCCATACACATTGCACATCAATTACACTATGTGTTTATATAGTATACCTGTATGTATATGTCATTATATAGTCATTCATGTATATACACAGGAATATGTGTAACATATATGTATACACAAGTATACATATAAGCATATCATGTGTATTTGTTTTGTGTATATGTCTGAACCTATATGAACATAAATATATGTACTTATCTGTATGTATATGTGCATGTATCTATACATATACACACAGGAGTGTGCAGGTACATATGTATACACAATGCATATATTGTATATAGATCTACATATATATAGATAGCATGTACACAAGCATATAAATATTATATCACAGTACACCATTATACATGAATCACATATACACGTACATGTATAAAGGAACATTAGCCATATCTATGCATACATATGAGTATACATGTATACTTACATGTGTATGTGAATATAGATGGGTATATGCTATATATACAAACATATGGTTTATATCTATTTTGTGGGCATATGTATATCTATTGTGGACCTGTATATACACTTATACTTTTGTGCATGTGCATGTGTATAAACCTGTGTGTGTCTTACAGATATGTGTATCTTTATATATACATAAACACTCACATAGGTGTGTGTATATATAAATTTATATTTCTATCTGTCTACTCATCTGAGAATGTACAGATATTTTTCATACTTGTTTTTGGCTTGTAAAACCCTGTATAACCTGGCCTTTTCTTAACCTTTTCAGTCACATTGTCTGTGATTCAGGAACTGTGACTTCCTTGCTCTTCCTTCATCTCCTATTTCTGAACTTTTTCTGGCTGTCCCCTATTCCTGGAACTCTCTTTCTCCTCATCTCTGCCTTCTGGCTTCCCTTGGTTCATTCATGTCTAAGTTAAATCATACCTTCTGCAAAAAAGCCTTTCTTAGTCTTCCTTAATCTTAGTGCCTTCCCCCTGAAAATACCCCCAATTTCTCCTGTCTATAGCTTGTTTGTACATAGTTGTTTGCATGTTGTCTCCCACATTAGACTGTGAGTTCCTTGAGGGCAGAGCCTGTCTTTTGTTCCTTTTTGTATCCCTAGCACTTAGCACAGTTCTTAGCACACAGTAGTCACTTAATACATGTTTATTGGTTGATTGGCATTGATTGATTAACTATTGCAGTGGCTTGCCTCAAGTTTTTCCCCACTCCAATCCATCCTCTATTCAGCCACCAAACTGATTTTCCTAAAGCTTAGGTCCCACCATGTCATTATCCGCCCCCCCCAAATAAACTCCAATGACTCTCTATGTCTCCAGTGTCAATACAAATGCATTCAAAGCCCTTTATGACCTAACCCCCTTCCTCCCTTTCTAGTCTTCTTACACCTTACTCCCCAACATGTACTCTTTGATCCAGTGACACTGGCCTCTTAGCTGTTCCACAAACAAGACACTCTATCTCTTTGCTCTGGGCATTCTCTCTGGCTGTCTCCCATGTTTGGAATCCTCTCCTTAACTTTGTCTATTGACTTTCCTAGCTTCCTTTAAGTCTATACTGAAATGCTATCTTTTACAGGAAGCTTTCCCCAACCTCTCTTAATTTTAGTACCATCATTCTTTTAATTATTTCCTGCATATGGTTTGCTTTGTATTTATTTATTTGTATGTTGTCTACCCCATTAGATTGTAAGCTACTTGAGGGCAGGGACTCTTTTGCCTCTTTTTGTAGCCTTAGGGCCTAGCACAGTACTTGGCACATATAAATGCTTGCTTAATAAATGTTTATCAAAATTTATCAATTTAGTTGGCTGACTATAAAGAAAGTTCGAAATTATCCTTGACGGCAAGTCACCAATCCAAATGCATTAGGTCACATAAGTGATGTATAAGGTATTTCCTGGTTTACTTCTACCCCCACCATTCCTTTATTTATACTGTCTTTTTCTCAAAATAATTATTTTGTATTACTTTATACTTTGTATTGGCAGCTAGGTGGCATAGGGGATAAGGGTGTCAGATGTGGAGGCAAGAAAACCAGAATTTAAATTCTACCTCAGATACTTAATAGCTATGTGTAAGTCACTTACCCATTTTCAGCCTTATTTTCCTCATCTGTAAAATGGAGATGATAATAGCACCTGCCTAACTGGGTTATTGTGAGGATAAAATGACATAACCTATGTATGTTACTTTGCAAACCGTAGAGTGCTATATATTGCTAACTGCCATAAATATGTTATTCTATGTCTTTATCACCTGATTGGCTACTGAGTGGTACATTTTTCATTTATATTTGATAATCATTTACTAAGTCTTAGAATTAATGAATACCACACCAGATTTAGAACTGGAAAAGTCCTCAGAAGTTTTCTAATCCAACCTACTCATTTCACTGTTGAGGAAATGAACTCTATGAGGTGTGAAGTTACTTGCCCAAGATTACACAGCCTAGTTAATGGCAAAGCTGGAATTTTAACTCAGGTCCTGGGGCTCTAAATTCAATGCTTTTTCCATTGCATCAAAAGGTTATGCACTGTGTCGGTTGAGGTACTCACACCAACAAAATACCAGCTTCTTTTTAAAGTGTGAAAAAATAACTTTACAGGAAATAATCTTGATTTTTTTCCCTCTTTTTCATAGTGTGACATTGATCATTTGAGCGAAGATGATAGTTCCTGAGGATGATGACCCCATCAAAGAGCCTGATCCCCAGATCAGTGGAGAGAGTTCTACAAAGAATCTTGTAAAGGATCTAGACACAGACCCAGCAGCTGAGCAAGCTGTTCATGAAGTGGACGAGGTGCAGAATTTACAAGAACTAACAAGACAACTTGAAATCCAAAATCAGCCCATAAGCCCTAGAAACCAGGCAAATGTCCCTAATGAAGAGAGACAAGTCAACCTGGACAAAGACAATCGCAATGTTGGGCCAAATAGAGGGGAAAATAGAGGTTTCAGTGGCAAGGTAGAAAAACAGAGTCAACTTGGTGAGATAAGTCCTGAGATAAAAGAGAGCAAAGGGTTAAAAGGAGATGTAGATGTGCAAGTTCAGGTTAGTAAGTGCATTGCACCCGTGGATAGTGGTAGTAGTATAGTGGGTATAGATAGGTCAACAAGGCCCAAAGTTACAGCCTCTAAAATGGCTGCACAGATTTCCACTTTGGTGACAGAGTTGGGCAGCATCTGCCCTGATACATCACTGTTTGACCCAACACTGGATGATGTGGAAACATTACAACTTGGTGACTTAGTAAAAGGAGATGACAGTAATTGGTATGTATATCTTGGAAGAGTGTGGACTTCCCCCCCCCCCCTTTTTTTCTGAATTTGAGAAACTCTTAGTGGAGTTCTGTTTCATAAGGTGATATTTTTTCTAGCCTTGTCAACAATATGAAAGACTTGAATACAAGTTTGTTTGCATGAAGCTTACAAAATTATATTCCGTTTATCTGAATTGTGATTTCTGAGATGTACTACCCCTGCCCCAGCTCCTGGTCATCAGAGAGAACTAAGAGAGATGAAACCCACTCTAGACAACCAGTGCCTTAGCTGGCATTTTGAGATTGAGCTGCCTCTGAACATCCAGTCACTAATCAATAAGTGCATATTCCAGTGTTAAATGAAACTATGGAGATGGAGATAGAGATTGTTAAGGGTCTCAGAGTGGAAGGAAAGAAAGGAACCTTGGGAAAGAACCATGGTTAGGGGGACAGGATGGAGGAGTGATCTCAACAGCCACACACAGGTCTTCTCACCTACCCAAATACATTTAGTTTGTGTGTATCGTAGTCATGGGTGTGAGACTATTTATTGATTGATAGTAGGAAACATTTGACATCCTACCTGCATGAATATTAGCGATTGGTAACTTTGCTCACAAATTGAGTGCAACACCTTAGCATATTAAGTTACATTTCTATGTGAAATATTTTAAGAAAACAATTCAACAAACTTTTATTGTCTGCTAATGTGCCAAAGCACTATGCACATGTATTGATCGGTAAATCCTATCGAAAATATTAAGAGATAACTATGGCAGATGTATTCTCTTAAGAGGAAAGGACAGATCAGTTATTTGAGAATATTTGAGGATTTAAAGACATGCATTCTTTTCCTTTAAACATATAAATGTATCTTTTGCAATCTTGAAGGCTTTGTGATTTCTCAAAAAGTGGACCTCCAGGAAAACAGAAAACAGAATCTCTTTTAAAGTGGTGCCGTCAAGCTCTAGATCATCCCAGTCCTGAGACCAAAGCAGCCTGCTCAGCCCTCATGAGTAAACTTGATCAAGGTATGGAAATCAAGTCTGAGGTGTGGAAAGAACACTAGGCCCTGAGTCAGGATTACACATTAACTATGCTAGATTTTCTGATAAGGTTAACACATTTTCAGTAGTTGATTCTTGCAGAATCCATTGCATACCTTTTATTACAGTGATGTTGTGAGAGACAGGGTTAATATTTGCCTTGTAAGCTGTGTTAAGTCAGTTTGCTAGATGTTTTGTTTCAGGGGATATGATGGCATATCCAAATCCTTATAATTAACAATCCATATTATAATAACTTTCTACTGAATTATAGAACACCTTCTTCATTATTTATATTTGGAAACATTTAAGTGTTCTGAGGCCATTTTTTCAAATCATATCTTCTATTTGCAGCTTATTTGGATTATATTGGGAACCACAAAACTCAGTCCCACAGTGGGGATTCCAAAATCTTTCTTTTGGCTTTCAGGCTCATGGCCAGAATAGTACTCCCTCAGAGGACCAGACTTGACTTTCTCACCTCCTGCTACAAATAAATGTCATTGAAACTAAAATATCTAACCCCATTTCAAAAAAAGTTTATCCTTGGCATCTTATTTTCATTGTTAATATATTCCTCTTTTTCATTTTCCACTTAGCAAGTAGGTGGAAAACTCTCTGTCGAAGCACATTGGCCCCTTCATGTGAGCCTAGCTCATTTACAGAGCCATATAGTAAGATCCAAAACACTCCCGTGGCCCTAGAGTCTGCTCACAAACCACTGTTCTCCTGGAGTACCTCAGGCAAGGCATGTGAAATCTACAAAGTAAAACTGGTCAATTGTGCAGAAAGCAGGATTGAATGGGAAGGAAGAAAGCATAAGGGACTTAAATAAACATAGGCTCTATCACTCTGTTTTACTGATGAACTTTTATGTGATGCCAAGTGTAGAAATAATATAAGCATAGCATTATCATGTGAAAAGCAAGGCATGGTGGTACATGCCTGTAGCTTCCAATGCTCGGGAGGCTCAGGCTGGGGGACCACTTGAGTTCAGGAGTTTTGAGCTACAGTAGGGCTAAAGCTGGTGAGGTATCCACATTAAATCTGGGACTAATATTCAGTACACTGGAGCAGGAACCCGGCAGGCTGCCTAAGGAGAGGCAAATTGACCCAGGTTCTCAGAAACAGCAGCTCAAAACATCCATGCTTATCAATAGCGCAGTGAGTGGCTGTTGCACTTCTAGCATGGGAGGAGATTGAGAGACCTAGCCTCCCTGGATCTGATCTACCCCCCCCCCCCCACCCTGCCAAAAAAGGAAAGAAATGCCTTTAATACATTCTGAGCTTTTCTTAGGTTCATTATTAGCAACTATCAGACTGGAAGGAAGAGCTAATGAATTGACTGGTTAGTGTACTCAGCTTCTCAGAAGAGCACTTGATAGACTTGAACATGAGGCTAAATCTAGTAAAATGCAATTAAACAACCTTACTTCCTTTCTTCCTGAATAAATGAAAAATCTTACATGTGTCCAAAAAATTGACTTCACAAGTACAAGAAGAAGGAGACTTGGTTAGATAGCAGCTTATTTGAAAGAGATCTGGGATCTTTTTTGGACTGCAAATGCAATTTGAATGATGTGATTGATAAGGCCACCAAAAAGGCTAATGGTGATCTTGTGTCTTTATGTCCCCGCACATCATGGACACTAAATAAATACTTGTTTGTTGGGTTATATCAAAAGGTATAGCTTCTAAGAATTAGGAAATGATAGTCCCTCTGTCTAAACACTGACCTACTGAGCCATCTATATGGGTCACTTCTACAACAGGAATCTCCAATGATCCAAGATCATTTCATATTGAGAAATACAGTTTGTAAGCAATTAAGTTATAGTTGTTTCTTTCTTTGTATACCCTAAGGACATTCTGGCATTTCTCCATCACAGTCAGCTTTTAAAGAGAATATAGATTGGACTTCTGATGAATCCATCTCTAAGGAATATGAATTGCAGTATTTGACTGATTTGCAGGTGGCTCAACTACAGGAAGAAAGTAAGAAGCATTGTCTTGTTTGAGAAAGTTCTTCACTTAAGAAGAATGTGATTGGATATGCAGTTAGAGGGCATGCAGTTCTCCAGAAAATGTTTGAATTTCCTACTTTCTCCTCTCTAGCAGAAATTGATTGTATACATGAAATAGTTACACTTGAACCAATCAAAACAAAATTCCATCTGCAATCCCTTTGCTGGCCATGTACTGCTCCCATCTCATTCACTCACTCTCAGCCACCCACTAACACATAGTCTCCAACCTACCCTATCTTCTCCTATGCACTTAATCCATTCATGCATTCACTCTCATTTCTATGTGTGTGCCTATGATTTTGAATGGGCTATTTGCATATCTCTTGTATACTTATGGGTATACCCATGTACACATATGTATGAGAGTTGAGAGAGCAAGGATATGCTTGTGTTTTGAGTCCTAAGGGACTTTCCCATCACCACTAGTCAGGCTCTTAAGGCTATGGGCTCTTGCTTAGAAACATCTTCAGCTATTATAAGGGGAATTTAGCCTGTATTTGGCCCCATAACTACTCACATTTCTCTAGCACTTTCAGATATACCAGGCAGTTTCCTCAAAATAATTCCATTCGGTTAGCCAAGGCCAACATCTTTGCTTGGGCCTCCAGGAGCTCGTTCCTGTGCTCACTCACCCTTCATCTCTGACTCTCAGCTAGCTCCTTCCATCCTACCTACAAGCTTATAGAAAGTGTCCCTTATCCAGCCCCTAACCAAAACAACCTTCATGAGTCTGCTGTCCCTCAAGCTATCATCCTATGTCTTCTTGCCACCAAATTTCTAAGAATATTGGTTGTCTACGCTCACATCTCCTCTCTCACCACCCACATAATCAGAATTCCTTTGCAATCTGACCTTTGTCTCCACTACTCCCTCTACTGAAATTGCTCTCTCCACTTATATTAACAACCTGTTATATCAACGAGCTCTTCTTTGTCAGATCATATGGCCTCTTCGAATTCCTCAGGAGACTCTCCTCCCTTGTGTTCTGTGCCATTCCTTTCACACAGTGGTTCTTTTACCTCTCTGCTGCTTTCTTCTGTTTCTCCTTTTTTTGGTTTCTCATCCTCCTCTCTCCCCACAAAGTGTATGTATCTTCTAAGCGTCTGGTCTTGACCCTTTTCTCTCTCTACATTCTTTCCCTTGGTGATCCCCCAGGGTTTCACTTCTATATAGATGATTCAAAAATATTTCTAGCTGTCCTCTCTCTAGTTGGACATTTCCAACTTCCTTTTTGACATGGGTGTCCTACTAACATCTCAGCCTTGGTGTGTTAAAAAATGACTTCATCATCTTTCCCCATAAACATGCCCCTTTTTCTCAACTTTCCTATTTCTATTAATGGTACCACTGTCTTTCCACTCAGCCAAATTCTCCCCCAACTGCCAAGTACCTCAATAATGGCCTTGAATCTGGCCCCTTCTCTCCACTCAGACAGCCTCTTTTCTGAATGATTGCAATAGCCTCCCTATAAGATTGCCAGCCTCCAGCCTTGCCTTTCTCCAATCCATCTTCCACATCTATATTCCAAAAGCACAGGTCTGACCACTTCACTACCCTCCTCAGGAAGCTTTAATGGCTCTCTCTTGCCTACAGGAGAAAGTATAAATTCCTTAGCCTGGCATTGAAAGCCTTTTCCAATTTGATGTCAGTGTACGTTCGTGGTCTTAATCCATTTCCTATACTATATGTTCTAGCTCAACTAGACTCTCAATTGTTTCCTGATTCTGCTCTGTCCCCTCCTGCAGATAATCCTCCATCCCTGGAACATACTCAGTTGCTTTGTCTATTGAGGTCTTCTTCTTGCTTCAAGGCTCCAACTCAAGTGTTACTTCTGTCATAAAACCTTCCTTGATCCTCCTGTTCTTTTTCTCTTTCACCTCAAAACTTTTTGGAGTACTTTGGCTCTCTCCTTTGCACCCCTATCATACTCTACCTTGAATTATACTATTTGTATCCATGTTTATTTAAGTAAATTTCTTTAATAACATTCTCCACAAACAATTCATTGTAGTTGAACAAAATCTTGGCCAACAATTTAAATGGCACAATGTCTATTTTGTGTCACAATATGAATAAAGTTCATAACTTGAAAAGTTCTTAAAATATCTGAGTTTGCTTAGCTTGCTAAATATCAGATGTTCATGTAATCATAGAATTTGGAGTTGAAAGGGAACTTAGAAATGATGTATTCCAAGCCCTTCATTTATATAGTTGAGAAAATTGAAGCCCAGAAAGGGGAAGTGATTTGTTTAAGATCAATCAGGAAGTAGATAGAACAGAGCCATATTTGAACCAACCAGGTCCTCTGACTCAAATCCAATGTGCTTTCTCATGTACCACACTGTTGATATATTATGTATAAAAAAGAAAGAATTAAAATTAAATTGAAATACCTAGAGTCACATGTATTATCCACTTTCTCTTCAGGCTTTCTACAGGAACAAGCCTGTGCAGTTGCCTCAGCACCTTATAAGATTCCCAGTGCCTCTTTCCAATCTCAGATAGGCGGTGTTTACAGTGATCAGGAGTGGTATGATGCCAGGGAAGATAAGGATTATTTTGACTATCCCCAGACATTTTCAGGCACATCCAGATATGCTTCATCTGTACCTAGTTTGCCTCCATACCGGTCCCCATCCATAAGTGGTGACTGCAGTCAAGTAATACCTCCTCCAATGATTCTGTCAAAGAGATCGGTGTCAGGCTCCAGACAAGAATACAAGAAATGGCCAGACAGTGAAGGTAAGCTAGCTGTGGACTTTATGCTTGTAATGACGTGAAATATTTGGAAAATCACCTTTGGCTGAAGTAAAGGTAATGTGGCCTTTGGCTTCATTGCAGCAAGATTTCTAAAGTTTTCTCTTTTGGCTCTCCCTCAATTCAGTGGTTAAGATCAATAAAAATAATTGTGTGTGCACGTGTAAGAGTCTTTTACCTTTGAGTTAACTACAATTAAAGCTTCATTCATTATCACTGAATTGGGAGAAAAAAAATTTTTTTTTTTAGGCAATTGGGGTTAAGTGACTTGCCCAGGGTCACACAGCTAGTAAGTGTCAAGTGTTTGGTCTGAGGCCGGATTTGAACTCAGGTCCTCTGACTTCAGGGCCGATGCTCTATCCACTGCGCCACCTAGCTGCCCCCATTATCACTGAATTGGAAAGAACCTTCAGCATCATCTACGTCTGTTTTCCTCATCTTAGAGATGAAGAAAAAGTCTCCAAGGATTGAATTTGCTTAAGGTCACACAGCTATTTAGGGCATAACTTGAACTAGAGGATGGGTCAGTTTACTCCCAGTTCAGTGGTTTTCTACTTCAACTTGGTATTTTTCCTTAATACTCTGGTGTAGATATGGCTCTTGGAGATGAAAGTGGTGGGCAGTCTACAGATTCCCTTTGGAGGTGGAGAGAAAGGGAAGTGATTTCAGTGGCAGTGGAGCCCAGGCCTGGGAATACTAGGTCATCTGCATGCTGGCCACAGGACTAAGTGGATAGGAAATTTGAGACTTATGGGGAGTAAAATGGGTGACTGGGAGGGGGTAGAAGTAGAACTTTGTGGAAGGACATGAAGAAGTGGCTTTAAAAAACCCCAAATAACCCCTGTCTCTTACCTCCTCAGGCAGCAAGTGAAAGTGTCTTAAGTAGTAGGAAAAATGGAGTTGATATATATGGCTCAGCAGCTGCCTGCCAGCTCAGCTTAGGGAATGTCACTTTCATTCACCGCTTCTGTCCTAAGTGAACAATCACTAGCTAAATGTTGAAAAGCCAGCAGATAAGAAAAACTCTTTGTTCGTGTTTTTGCTTTCAAGTCTTTTTCACATGAACCATTATCTAGTCGTATCTCCCCTCATCCCGCATGCATAGAAGTTACTTTTTATGTTCAAATGTAGAACTTTACATTTATTCCTTTTTAATTTCCTCTTTGTGATGACTGGCTCTTTGTCCTGCCATGTTGGGATTCTTGGGAACTATGCTATGGCATCCAGCACGTAACATCCTTTTCAGCTATATGTCATCAGCACATTTGATATGCAAATCATCTATGCCTTATAATTTCATATATCTCTTGTTATTTCAGATGAATTGTATGCCAGTATGCCCAGCGAAATTAGATCAGGTCTTCATTCTTTGAGTTCTGGGAAGAGTAGCCATGGTTTAGACTGGGATGTCCAAGCACCAAAGAGTCAGTTATCAAGAATTCAGGAATCAGGTAAACCTTTCTTATCTCTCTAAGAAATGAAGTTTTTTCCCTTTCTTTAAAAAAAATTGTTCTGATGAATTTTGTTAGTCCACCACCTTCATTTCCCATTATGTACCTCCCCCACCCAGATACCCATTCCTAATTAGGATAGAGACTGGACCTAGGATTTCATTGGTAGGGAACTCTTGAATGAGGAAACTCTCTCTACCTGTGCAGTTTAGCACCTTGTCTGCAACTTATAGTCTTAAAGAGTTGTCTAATTACAAAGATAAAAAAGAAAGTTCACCAAAACTGCAGGGCTTCACACTTATATTCCTCTGCCTCTCTGAAAGGGAGGAGGTGCATTCAGCTTATATTTGTTGTTGTTCTTTCTATTTTCATTGTTGTAGTCATCATGTGTATCATTTTCCTGGGTCTACTTACTTCATTTGAGTGATTCATTTTACATCCATTCACATGTGCATATCTATAGTCTTATCTGTAGTGCTTATCTACACTTTTCACATTCATTATTTCTTATGGTGTAACAGCATTCCATTATATTCAAGTACTACAGTTTGTGTAGCCAAGCCACATTCTGATCATTCAGTCAATAAGCATTTATTAAGAATCCACTATGTGCCTTAGCACAGTTCTAGGGATAAAAAAGAGGCAAAAGACAGTTCCTGCCCTCAAAAGGCTCACATTCTAATGGGAGAGATATATATGTATGTGAGAACAGACAAATATGCACAAACAAGCTATATATGGGATAAATGGAAAAATAATTTACAGGAAAGGCGCGAGAATTAAGAAGGGTTGGGAAAGGCTTTGGGTAGAAGATGGGATTTTAGGTGGGACTTGAGGGAAACCAGGAGGCAGAGATGAGAAGGGAGACCATTCCAGGTATGGGTAACAGTCAGAATGCCCAGAGTAGAGAGGTGACATGTCTTGTTCATGCAACAACCAGGAAGCCAGTGTCACATAGAGTACACGTTGGGGAGTAAGGTGTAAGAAGATTGGAAAGATGGGGGAGGATGGCAGGTTATGAAGAGCTTTGAATGCCAGAGGATTTTGTAGTTAATCCTGGAGGCAGTAGGAAGCCACTGAAGTTTACTGAGTAGGGAAGGGACATAGTCAGAATTGCAATTTAGGAAGATCACTTTGATGGCTGAATGGAGAATGGATTGGAGTGGGGAGAGACTTGAAGTAGGAAGACCCCCCCCCCCCAAGCAGCTATTATGGTAGTCCAGGTGTGAGGTGATCAGGGCCTAAAATGGACTGGTGGCAGTGTCAGAAGAGAGAAAGGCTGTATTTGAGGGATGCTGCAGAGGTGAAATCAACAGGCCTTGGTAACACCTTGGATATGGGAAGGTGGGAGAAATTGAGGAGTCCAGGATGACTTCTAGGTTGTTAGCTTCAGGGTTAGGAGGATGGTGGTGCCCTCTACAATTAATAGGGAAGGTAGAAGGTAAAGAAAGGTTTAGGGAGAAAGATAATAAGTTCCATTTCCAAAATGTATTGAGTTTAAGATGTCTATTGGACATCTAGTTTGAGATGTCTGAAAGGCAGTTGGAGATGTTAAGAGTGGAGGTCTGGAGAGAGGTTGGGGCAGGATAGGTAGATTTGAGGGTAATTAGCATAGAGATGGTCATTAAATCCATAAGAGCTGATGAGATCCCCAAGTAGTATAGAAGGAGGAGAGAAGAAGGCCTGAGTTACTTACAGTTGGAGGGTGAGATCTGAATGAAGATACAGGAGTATCAAAAAGGAGTGGTCAGATAGGTAGGAGCACCAGGAGAGAGTGGTGTTCCAAAAACCTAGAGAGTAGAGAGTATCAAGGAGAAGAGGGTGGTCAATAGTGTCAATGGCTTGAGGAGAATAAGGAAAGGGTAAAGGCCCTTCGAGATAGCAATTAAAGGAATAACTGGTAATTTGGGGGATAATAGTTTTAGTGGAATGATGAGGTCAGAAGCCAGATTTTAAGAGTTAGAGTTGGAATGATGAAAGTGAGCAGAGAGAAAGTGGAGGCACCTATTGTAGATGCCTTCTTAACGAGTTTAGCTCCAAAGAGTAGTTGATAAGAGCAGTTAGGAAGACAGAAGGGTTGGAAGGATCAAGTGAGGAATTTTTTCAGGATAGGAGAGGTATGGACAGGTTTGAGAGGTTTGTAGGATGTAGAGAAGGATCCAGTAGGCAGAGAGAAATTGAAAATGAGTGAAAGTGGGGATGACAGAGAGAGGGGGCAATATGTTGGAGTAGATGGGATGAAATGGGATCACTTGGATGAGTAGAGACGTTGGCCTTGGTAAGTGTTGCAGTTTCATGGTTTGTTGTAGGGGACATCGCCTCAAAGAATTCAGAGTCAGGTCACCTCTAATCCAAGCAGAGGCATTTATTCGGAATGATGCCTCCAACGGGCTGAGTTTCAAGAGGAACCAGCAAGCAGCTTAGTAAGACAAGACAGGCAAATTTATAGTGTGATGATTACACAACAGAAACTATGAATATTAAAAAAGCAGGAGGGGTTTGTCAAGGGATTAAATAATGGGAGAAGGGTCCCAGCCTCAGTGGAACTGCACATGCAATTTCCCACAATGCATACAGAAAAACCCATTTAGGGGGACTTGTATGTATGGTAATGATATTATAATAAGCCTCTCTACATCATAAGTTCACCTAAAGGACAGCTTTTGCTATTACCATGCAGGTGCCTACTTAGGGAAAGTCCTTTCTATCGTTTTGGGGTCCACATCCTGCTCAGGCATCCTGGTGGTGCTGCTTTCTGATTGGCTTAGTATTGTGGTCCTGTCTGAGATTAGAGGGATGGGGGTGTGGTTGAGTGCATGGACACACCTGTTGTTTCTGTGGGAAATATGAGGAATGGGTCTGGGGTAATGACTAGCTAGAGGCAGTGGCTGGGATCCTATCACATGGACACGCCTGCTGTTTCTGTGAGAAATATGAGTTCATGGATACACCTGTTGTTCTGGTGAGGCAGTGAGGCATATATGAAGAAGTTAGGATATTAAGTTGGGGAGGGCAGTGCCTAGGTAGGGGCAGTGACTATTGAATCTGGGGACAGTGATGTGGTTAAAGCTAGATTATGTGATTAAATCAGGACATGCCTGTTGTTCAGTGAGGCTCATAAGGAAGTTAGAATATTGGGGCTGGGGGCAGCTTTATTAGGATTCCATCAGTAAGGAGTAAGGCCACTTCATAATGTGATAGGAGATGAGGAGAAGGGGAGAAGAGAAGGCTTATGGCAAATGGTTTCAACTTTTTCCTGTAAAATATGAGGCAAGGTTCTCAGTAGACAGAGTGGGGCAACCCATGGGAGGTTTGAGGAGGGATGAAAAGCTTTTGAAGAGCCTTTGTGAAGAATGGGAGAGCAAGTTGATAAAAGAGGTAGAGTAGGATTGCCTCGTAGCAGTAAGGACCTGGTTGGGGTTGTGCAACATCCATTTGTAGTGAACCCTGCTAGAATGGTTGTGTGATTTTTTTTCCATCTTCATTTAGTAGCGTGTACTTGGGGAAGGTGGTGAATTGTTGGATTGATCCAAGGCTGAGACTTGGCAGAATGCAATAGGTGAAATGCTAAGGGGGCCAGGGATTCAGGAGAGGAGGACAGTATAGAGTTGAATTGTTCCACCAAGGGGTCAAGATGAGAAGAAGAAAGATTGGCTAATATAGGAGTGATGGCCTGGGAGAGAATTAAGGGGTCAAGGGATCAAATGTCATGGTTTCGATGAAGATTAGGATTTGATAAGGAGAAGACAGAGGGAGAGGCAGAAATAGATTATTTATTAAGAGGTAGTCCCTGTTGCAGTCTGAGAGGTTGAGACCCCTCAAAGACTGGAGTACCGGATGGGGTCGTCTGGAATGAATTCATAGACTCAAGCATTCTTTAAGTCAAGGTGGCAAAGATTTATTGTTACACTTTTCAGCAGGCAAGGATTCTTAAGGAACCTGTGAGAGACTGAGGATGGAGCTAGGGTTTATATGGAAAAGGGCACGGGAAAGGAATGCCAGGGACATTGATGAGGTAATCCAAAGGTGCAGGTGTCTTTGGGAGCTATGGATAGGAAAGTACAGGGAATATACCAGACAGGGAGGGAGATGACAGAGGTATGGATCTTGGGAGTCTGGCAGGAGGAAGAGTCCTTGGGCCGGCCAAGGACAAAACTCCTTGGGCTGGGCAAGGCACTCCTCTCCCTCTGTCTTGATGAGAGGATGCTCTGCAACAAGGGAAAGCTTTCTCACAAAACAGGAACTTACTGAGGAATTGGGAGGCTTCCAGAGACAAGATCTGAGGGCTGGGACCTAAGCAGCCCAGCAATCTCTCACCCAGCTTTGTGTAGTTGCACCAGGGATAGAGATAAGGGTCTTGCTGGGGCCCATGCATGAGTAACTGCTAGGCACAGTGTCCTTGGACTGAGGAGTGATTGTCAGAGACAGTGTTTCTGAGATTAGAGAGAAATTGGGGTCCAAGTCCAAGCACAAGCACCCAAGCACCCCATCATTCCCCCCTTAAACAGATGGGACCCAAAATCTTTTGTGTTGAGGGACGAAGGTCTCAGCTTCTGAAACTATTTCTTGCTGGGATTGGGTGTAGAGCTGTCCTGGCCTTGCGAGGTTCCTCCATTCCAGGGGCTGGTGTTTTAGCCAATGTCCAGAACTTGGCTGATGCCAGGTCCAAGGGGTGATGGACTGTGGTCCCAGACAGAGGTTGGTACCCAGCCTGAGCAGTGATCTGGAAGTGGAGGGCACTGAGCCTAGAGGAGACAAATCTGGCAAGAAGATTAAGCAGACAAGGACCAAAAAGAAGTAAAAAGAATATAATCAGGAGTGGGTCAAGAATAGTAGTTAACATAGAGAGAAACCAGGATCCCCAAGGAGAGGATGACCCTGGTGTACTAAGTTCATGGATGTCTCACATCCAGGTGACTTTCTCTAGTCCTATTGAGCTCCACCTATTGAGAGTTGTTAATATGCATACAGCAGGAGGTGTTGGCCAGGGCACAGACACC